ACAAAGTATGGGAGTTACGTCTTAACGCTTCGATGGCTATGTGGATCGCGGCCCAGTACCGTATTTCCAAATATTTCACCCAGCTTCCCCAACGCACGACAGTAAATACAGGCCCGGTGGTAAATAGAGCTGTGAAAATGGACACTCAGCTGACGAAAAATAGAGGCTGTGTGGTAACTGGTACATAGAGACGCTGCGTTTATATACTTTTAAGATTACGGTACTACATACAGTGTACCTATCCACTGCAACATTATATGTGAAGTGAAAGTAGCTTATTGTACGTGTCCGGACGTATGTCGGTTTTATAGTGCTACAGTGTTACATGAATACCCCCCTCAGACACAGACTCCAAGCCGACCAGCCCTTGTTTATCACCTAAATACCGAGCACAAGGCATATCTTATGGTACGGCGCGGCCAGGGGATCGAACCACCGACCTTCAACTGCCCCTACAGACGCTCAAACCACAACACGGAGGCGGGTTGATATATCACACAAAAGGTCAGTGAATGCTGACGTACCTGGATCGTATTGAAGGCACGACATTAACCTTGATTGCTCAGTCCAGACCGAATGATTATAAGATACAGGAAATAACTGCTCCTAGCTATTGGCAACGTCGAAACTTTTCTCCCATTTCCTATAGAAAATTGCATGCACCAGTAGGGGTGCACTCTCCAATTTTTCAAACCAAAGGTGTATCTCCGAACCACTAAGCCTCAAACTTAAAGGTAGCAAGAATTCAACAGTCATTGTCATCGGATATGTTTTCAAGGTCTAGGGACAATCTCTCTACCCCATTCTCTCTCATTAGGCTGTCAATCAGTTTAACAAGATCAATGACCATTTCTCTTTTCTTCCCAAGATCTGCTTCAGTGTTGTTGAATAAGACGTAACGATGTTGACAATCCTGCAATAACATTCGCATTGGACCGCTGGCCGACTCTATATGCTGACTAAATGTTAGCGATTTTCCATCCAGCTCCATCTGACGGTGAAATGAGTCTCCGCGAGTAAAGACACAGATGACGTGCTTTCTCAGGATGTCCTGATCTGCCTGACGGAGAGACTCCACTGCAGAGATCTCTTCCTTGCTCAGACGCTCGGTGGCGGACAGAATCAGCAGAACCACATGAACGCCGTGAGGGAACCATATTCCAGATTGCCGAAGCATGACCATCACATCCTGGGTCAGAGCCTGATCAACCGCTCCATCAAGATCCATCACATTAAGCTTCCGTCCCCCCACTGATTCGCTGATCTTCAGATTCTGAAAGAGTATTGTAGCTGTTGTTATTTGGCTCGAAAACTTTTTTTCTCCAAAAATTGTGTTTCCCGTTGTGCTGGCACCACGATTCGTCTTGCCCATCAGAATTATGTCCAAGGGTTCCCCTGGGGGTAGGTCTGCCACGGGTGTAACGCTCTCCTAAAACAACAACATTAAGGTTAGTCACATCGCTCTGTGAGCTGGAATTTCAGTTACATTATGACGTATCAACTTTAAATGTTATGGTTCTCACAGGCCAAGGATCATAATCGGGAGGAATCTGGACTTGAAACCAGCGGATTTGACATAAGCACAAAACTCTACAGAATGGTCATTTCGCTGCAATGACACCCATGCCCTTTTTAAGGAGGACTATGTTTCATCAATAACAAAACAATGTTTATATGTCACAAATCTAACAGAAAATAACATTTGAAAGACCCTAAGTCTACATAATATTCTGCGGATATATCTACACGCCTATTCGACTGATTGGATATCAACTGCATCATAATAAGAACCATTGTTCGACCTTTTCTGTATCTAAATCACAATTATCTTTTTTCAGCATTATTTTTCTGACACATATGTCTTGAAGGCAATTTTTCTTACCTTGGGTGACTTCAATTTAGATATAAACTTTGAGACTTCCTTTCTGAAACCACCCACTTTCTTCTCGGAGTCGTATTCTTCGAAGGCCTTATCAATTGGTTCAGAGTGTCTCCTCTTCTTCTTTGTCAGGTCCAGCTCTGCAACGACCTTCTTGTACAGTCGCAGCACTTTCGAGAGACGCTTTTCAATGGCACTAGCCTCTTCCTCTTGACTTTCTGTCAGTTCAACATCATCGTCTCCCAGAAATGAATCCAACATCGCCTTCGCCGCGAGAAGGTCATCAAAATTTGCCTCGAGTTGTTCAAGAAGAACCTCTAAGCCCTTGTCCTTCAACATGTCTGGGAGGTTGGATGAAAGGGATTTCAAAGGTACAAGCTCACATCTGCATGGGCATCTTTTCCCATCATTTTGTTCCATTACTTCACGTTTAAAGTCATCCAGCACTTGAAGCATCCCATCAATATCTCGTGGCATGTAGCTAGTCGGTGTTGTAGAAAAGTAGTCTATATTGATCTCGGAGCTGCTGCTTAAGTCGTTTTCCAGTTGCTTGAACTTTGCTTTGGCCCCGGCATCGACCATGCCCTTGAATGATAGTTTCCCTTTCAAATCAGCATGGATATCGTTTAATTGTTTTTTGTCTGAATTCTTTATCCGTATTCGAACCAGCAATTCCCCTCCGTATGTTATGCTTCGGACAAAATGGGTCCCTTTAAGTTTTCTCTTTATACGTGACTTCAACTTCGTTTCTTTCATGGTTTCTGTACCCTGTAATAGAAATTCCTTTTTAATTGATTCCTTTTTTTTTGACGAATTACATATGTGACATATTTCGAACTTGTACATCACTAGAAAGAGCGAGTGAGTTTGGTTTTACGCCGCTTTTAGCAATGTTCCAGCGATATCACGGCGGGGGACACCAGAAATGGGCTTTACACATTGTACCCATGTCGGGATTAGAACCCGGGTCTTCGGCGTGAAGAGCGAACGCTTTAACCACTAGGCTACCCGACCGCCCCGATGTCCGATGTGAAATGTGAAGGTTAGCCCAGAAATCCGTCCCTACAGAACTAAGTCGTAAAAACAAAACTGTAAATATGACTACCGCCCAGGATGAAGATACTCAAAATATGTACTTTATCGCAGGATAAAGTACTGTTGGCGTCTTTGATCTTTCGCCCAAGCATCTTAAAACATACTACACAAGGTGGTTTCTAAACTACATGAGAGATGTTTTCACACGAATTATACCTTCATACGAACAATACCCCCATAACGTCCCGCAGTATGCAATTTTTATCACTCTTGTCATGCATTTATACGCGTCATACTCGTCATACTTTATGTGGGTCATTCCGTTATATGTCTGAAACCAGTGTACGAGTAACGCGAGTCATACTATCGTACTCTCATACGAGTCATACCATCATACCGTCATGCGACTCATACCATCGTACCGTCATACCATCGTACCGTCATGCGAGTCAAACTGTCATGAGAGTCAATCGAGTCATGCTATCACGCGGCTCATACCATCGTACCGCCATGCGAGGCATACCATCGTACCGTCATACGACTCATACCATCGTACCGTCATGCGAGGCATACCATCGTACCGTCATGCCACTCATACCGTCGTACCGTCATACCATCGTACCGTCATACGCCTCATACCATCGTACCGTCATGCGAGACATACCATCGTACCGCTTTGCGAGTCATACCATCGTACCGTCATACGACTCATACCATCGTACCGTCATGCGAGTCAAACTGTCATGAGAGTCAATCTTGTCATGCTATCACGCGAGTCATACCATCGTACCGTCATACGACTCATACTATCGTACCGTCATGCGAGTCAAACTGTAATGAGAGTCAATCGAGTCATGCTATCACGCGAGTCATACCATCGTACCGCCATGCGAGGCATACCATCGTACCGTCATACGACTCATACCATCGTACCGTCATCTGAGGCATACCATCGTACAGTCATGCGACTCATACCATCGTACTGTCATGCGACTCATACTAACGTACCGTCATGCGAGTAAAATTGTCGTGAGAGTCAATCGAGTCATGCTATCACGCGAGTCATACCATCGTACCGCCATGCGAGGCATACCATTGTACCGCCATGCGAGGCATACCATCGTACCGTCATACGACTCATACCATCTTACCGTCATACGACTCATACCAACGTACATTCATGCGAGACATACCATCGTACCGCCATGCGAGTCATACAATCGTACCGTCATGCGAGGCATACCATCGTACCGTCATACGACTCATACCATCGTACCGTCATGCGAGTCAAACTGTCATGAGAGTCAATCGAGTCATGCTATCACGCGAGTCATTCCATCGTACCGCCATGCGAGGCATACCATCGTACCGTCATACGACTCATACCATCGTACCGTCATCTGAGGCATACCATCGTACCGTCATGCGACTCATACCATCGTACTGTCATGCGACTCATACTAACGTACCGTCATGCGAGTCAAACTGTCATGAGAGTCAATGGAGTCATGCTATCACGCGAAGCATACCATCGTACCGCCATGCGAGGCATACCGTCGTACCGTCTTACGACTCAAACCATCGTACCGCCATGCGATTCATTCCTTCGTACAGCCATGCGAGTCAAACTGTCGTGATAGTCAATCGAGTCACGGTCATGCTGTCACGGGGGTGGTCAGGTAGCCTAGTGGTTAAAGCGTTCGCTCGTCACGCCGAAGACCCGGGTTCGATTCCCGACATGGGTACAATGTGTGAAGCCCATTTCTGGTGTCCCCCGCCGTGATATCGCTGGAATATTGCTAAAAGCGGCGTAAAACCAAACTCACTCACTCAGGCTGTCACGCGAGCCATATGACCGGACTCATACCGTGAAACCATCACACCATCATGGTAATACGGCCAGAGATTCATACCGTTTCAACGTTAGCAACAGCAATGATTCCAGCGTGTTGTCATCAGTACGGCACTCCTTCAGATATGACCCTGTTCCCCCAACCATGACCAAGTTGGCTTTGACCTTCAGTGAGAGTTCCCCCGATACGTTAAGCATATCATGCACGTCTTGTGCTTTTTGGATTACAGAATAGTGTGCTATATTCCGGTGACGATCTATTTTTTCCACTTTGGACATCGATTCGTCTGTGAATAGGTCCAGGCCAGAACTGTAGGTCTTCAGGTCATATTCTCGACCCAGGGTCATGCCTGGCTGGTATGGAACCGACTCCGTCTGCATGGTTCTGTAAAGAATGTTACACGTGAACACTGGAACGCTAACTGTATACGCACATGTATAAAACACAACAAAAATATTGGGAAATATACTGTGTGTAATAGTGGTGTAACGATACGGCGATACAGTATTGTATCCCGATGCACAGCCCACGATACGATGCATCGATTTGGAAAGCATGTATCGCGATACATACGATATTTTCATAACACAGTTTTACCTACCGTATTTTCTTGAGTATAGTGCGCACTTTTTTTTCCAAAAAACACAGCTGTGTAGAAGGGGTTGCGCATTATACACGAATTTATGAGTTTTGATGTTTTTTCCCCCATGGAAAGACATTTCCGTGAGCACGTAACACCGGAAATACCATGTCAACAAATCCATACTGAAGTTCGCAAATTATTCATGTACTTACACTGGCTATAAAAAAAGTGATCTTTGTATATCTGGACTCATGTTTGTAACTTATTTCATTAATTTTATTCAAAATTCCTTTTAATATTGTTTTAATTGATTTCGGCGAAATCGTGTGTGAAGCGATCGGAAGAACGCACAACTCACCGTTATTAACAGAAACCACGGTCAGGTTACCGCTATTGACGCCTTGAAAGGAATTTTAGTTGACAGAGAATGGATACATATATCATAAATGCCATACTTTGATTCGTTAAAAGTCAGATTTGTTTTTGTTGGACGATTCTATGTCAACACGTAATTCTCGCGATCACGCGATCACGTGCACGGGAGCCTTGACGGTGACTGGTCAGACTGGTTCCATGTAAAAAATAATACCCGGCAATAGCGATCAGCTGCTTCGCTTAGGGTTATTATTATTTTAAATATGTTTAGTAAAAGGTGCATCTAAATTAACAATATATTGGATTATATTATTCCTGATAAAAAAATAGTTTCAGATACAACTTTTGCCGATCCTTGCATTAAAATACTGTAAAGTTATATCATTGGGTGTGTCTTGACCGAATCACCGGTAGATTCCAAGAAAACGTGTGTACATGTATAGCTGATTGCTGTGTCCGGCTTAGTTTACGAGAAATTACACAAGGTAATCTTAAACCCTGGATACAATGCCTAGCTGAACAAAAAATACAATTTAAACGGTAAATCAACATGTCTGGTGATTTTTTATCTCAAATTTCGAATTTGTACTGACGAAGTTTCTCATCACCCGTTCGTTTGCCGGACTTCGCTGAAGGGGTACGGTGTATTTTTTTTCTGCGCATAATATTCAAATTTTTTTTTTCTCCAAAATATTGAACCCGCTAGAGGGGCGTGCGCATTATACATTGGTGCGCACTATACTCAAGAAAATACATGAAATACATGGGCGGATACAGCTTTTTTGAAAAGGGGGGGTGCACAATTAAGATCTATTTACGCCCATGAAATACGTTTAACAGTTTCAAAGCCAGTTTGTTGTTTCAGTAAAACATACTGTATTGCTGACAATTTGCTATAACAGTAAATAAACACCTTATATCTTTTTAAACTGTACACATCTTTTAGATAGCAGAAAGACATCAACTTGGCTTAGCTTGTACCAGTAAACACTGTATCGTGATACGTATCGTATCGCGACCCTCCCGTATCGTTACACCTCTAGTGTGTAACCGAGATAAACAACCTGAAAGCTTTCAAAACAACCAATCAACAAAAATCAAATGCAAACGTGCGAAAATGAAACCCAATTTCGTCGTTATATAGAAGTGAGTTTGGTTTAAAGCCGCTTGGAACTGTATTTCAGTTTTATCAAAGAGTGACAGGTTGATGAGGGGGAAAGCCTGAAGTGATGCGGGCCTTGCAAAACCATGCATCAGAACTATCAACGTTTGACTTGACTCAAAAACCTTAAGACATGTCCATTCCTATTTTGCACCATCTTCCCGTGGCAAGGGAGATAACTGACTATAAAAGTCCAGTTTTCACTCTTGTCGAACTAGGCTGGAATTGCTGGGCTCGATCGTAGCGCCACCAGTGGCTATTACGAGTTATGACCCTTCTAAGCCTCTTCTATGGACAAATAAAATTCCATCTCTCGTTAAACAAAATGGCGGCACCCAGTCAAAGATCTGATCGATAATCTAGATCTTCATTGTGATAAAACGGTCTTACGTCGCGTAGTGCATCAAATTACGTGAGCGCCTTGATTAAAAACATGAAAAGATTTGGAAAATATCTGTTGATAACGAGTTGGCGGTGCACATGCTTTATAAATCCTGCAATCGATCGAAATCTGCACGACAGTTAACGAACCGGATTTCGATTTCGGAGCGCGATTTTGATTGGACTATGCACAGACTCGTTAGTCTAGCCAAAAGGTAACTCCATAATCCCAGCCAAGTTCCGCAAGGGTGGAAACTGGACTTTTATAGAGTCAGCTAACTTCCTTGCCTCGGGAAGATGAAAAGAACCAGGTTAAAGTCTGTAAAACTTTTGATTTCTCAACTTTGTACACTACTATCCCACGTGACAAACTTTATTCCTTGATCCATTGGGCTTTTGTTACATAACGTGGTGATTATTGGTATAGCTACATATCTATCTTCATAGGTTCAGACCGTGAAGATTCGGGGTAGAACAGGTCTTCAGGCGACTGTGCTTGTAGTAAGAGGCGGCTAACGGGATTGGGTGGTCAGTCTCGCTGACTTGGTTGATGCATGTAATCGATCTCAATTGCGTAGATTGATGCTCATGATGTCCATCACTGGATTGTCTGGTCCAGACTCGATTATTTACAGACCGCCGTCATATAGCTGGAATATTGCTGAAAATTACTTGAGTTAAAGCAACACGCACACTAGCATTCATTTGCTTGTTGATACTGTTTTCTTCAGAAAGCAAAATTCAAACTTCATTCACAAAATGTCCTCATAAAAACTGTAAAAAAAACCCCCGCCGTACGGCATGGTCACACATTAACTGTATAATCTGCAAGGCAAAGAAAGTATACACTTGAAAATTGGATGTGACCAAACAATTACAAACGTTATCAAAACGTTACTAGGCTGAAAACAGTCGCCGAAACACTGCAGACGTGAGGTCTAAAACACAACATTGGTACCCGTATTAAATACAACCGCCTCCGTGGTCTAGTGGTAGAGCGTCCGCCCGGAGAGCGGAAGGTCTGGGGTTCGATCCCCGGCCGCGTCATACCAAAAGACGTTAAAAAGATGGTACTTGAACGGCCTTCGAAATACATGTCATTGAGTTACCCTGTTTGGCGCTCGGCATTATGTGGCTAAAACAAGGACTGGTCGGCTCGGAGTCAGTATACTGTGTCTGAGTGGGGTATTCATGTTAAACTACGGCATGGTATCTCAGTGAGCTAGCACTATAAATCGGCATCAGTCCGGACTACTACAAGCAGCCACACAAACACACACACGTACATGCACGTCGCTTTATAAGTGCAATAATCTTGGACGCGACGTTAAACCCCATTTCACCTCACCTCACCCATCGTGCACCAAGCAACAACATACACAACGATCAGACGCATCACGCAACAGTCGATATCACCGTCTGTTTTGGACGATCAATAGGCATCATGCAATGGTCGCCATCACAATGACTATGACAATGACTCAGCACACCTTGACTTTATGAGCTGGTTCCCAAGGATAGAATGTGCCTCCTATAGCACCTCATTGCTGGTCGTAGGAAGCGAATAATTTGGGCACCCGTGGGAAGAACTAAACTTGTAAGAGGGCATGTAATGAATCAGCGCCGAGACTCGGCGACCTTGTTGATAGCGTGTCAGCGTGCCCCGACAGCGTGATCGATGCTGATACCAATCAATGGATTATTTGACTTGTTAATATTCTGTCATATAGCTAGAAACTGCTGACTGTGACGTTAAACCAGAAAAACATACAAAGGTTCAGTTTTCGATATGTTGGACCACTTACCTCTATTAGACAAGCGACTTCTCCAGTTGTGTGTTGCCACTCTGTTAGACAAGCGACTTCTCCAGTTGTGTGTTGCCACTCTGTTAGACAAGCTGTTGCCAGGGAATAACGTAATGTAAACAGAAACTAGAACTTTTTTGTCGAAGGGTATATTATAATTTCCTCTTTCGAGATTACTTGATAACTCTTATTTTACGTGTATTTTGGTCAGCAACGATCAGAATAATTAATCTTAACCAGAGAGGGCGTTTCCTTGTTATCCTTGCGTTTTGATAAGCATAATTTAGCTCGGCGAGCGTTAAATGACTGAATTATCTGAGGTTTGGGATTTCTCATTGCTGGTGGCGGGCTCTCGCCTTAAAGATTTTGAAAAACAAGCAAAAAAACTTTGTAAAAAAATTATAAAGAATTGTTATTTGCTTTACACGAGATCAGAAATTATATCGAAACGGACTTTCCACCCATTACGCAGCAGCTGTGACCTCGAAACTTGGTTGCAGATACGGAGCTGTATGTTCGTTATAATTTATTAACCAGGCATAAGAACGAAATCTGCCAGACATCAACAAGAAACTGTTCTATGTCTACAATACACAGGGAATCGACAACAGAAAACATTGAGAAGGTAACCAGAAACTAAGAAACTGGAGTGAGTGAGTCTGGTTTTACGCCGCTTTTAGCAATATTCCAGCAATATCACGGCGGGGGACATCAGAAATGGGCTTCACACATTGTACCCATGTCGGGAATCGAACCCGGGTCTTCGGCGTGACGAGCGAACACTTTAACCACTAGGCTACCCGACCGCCCCCGTAGAAACTGGAGCACACTGCAAGCGCAGAACATGAGGGAAATAGATTGCGAGTCACGAGAATCAACAAACAGCGAGTACATTTACATATTAAACTAGACGTGTATTATTATATGGGCGGTGTAAGGTGTAAATGTACTCGCTGTGTGTTGATCCTCGTAATATGACGGTCAACCTCCCTCTTGTTCTGAGCATGCCTAGTTTGGAAGGCTGTGGTCTTTATGTTTTAGTGCTGCCGTTTCCATGGAGAGAGTGTATTATGTTATGTATATTTAGGAGAGAAATTATGTTTGGTTCCTTCATTTGGGACATTCAACACACATGTTTGGTAAATTATTAGTTAAGGGAATCTTGTTTGAAAATTGTCCAGTACTGTTCGCAGCAGGTGACGCTCGTTCTGGTTTAGTTGGTTGGTTTGTTGTTTTACGCCGCACTCAGCATTATTCCAGCTATATGACGGCGGTCTGTAAATAATCGAGTCTGGACCAGACAATCCAGTGATTAATATCATGAGCATCGATCCACGCAGTTGGGATCGATGACATGTATCAACCAAGTCAGCGAGCCTGACCATCCGATCCCGTTAGTCGCCTTTTACGACAAACATAGTCGCCTTTTACGGCAAGTATGGGTTGCTGAAGACCTGTTCCACCCCGGAATCTTCATGGGGCTGGTCGTTAGAGGTGACTGGCGCTCGGCATTAAGGGGCTAAAACAAGGACTGGTCGGCTTGGAGTCAGTATACTGTGTGTGAGGGGGGTATTCATGTTAAACTGCGGCACAAGAGTACCGACACACGACCGGACACGTACAGTAAGCTACTTTCACTTCACATATAATGTTGCACTGTATGAATTACGGTAATCTTGAAAGTATATAATCGCAGCGTCTCTATGTACCAGTTACCACACAGCCTCTATATATCATCAGCTCAGTGTCCATTTTCACAGCTCTATTTACCACCGGGCCTGTATTTACTGTCTGTTGTGCGTTGGGGAAGCTGGGTGAAATATTTGGAAATACGGTACTGGGCCGCGATCCACATAGCGATCGAAGCGTTAAGACGATCGTAACTCCCATACTGATGTAGCACGGTAATGTTGATCAAATCACCGACCTTCAACTGCCGCGACAGACGCTCAAACCACAACACGGAGGCGGGTTGATATATCACACAAAAGGTCAGTGAATGCTGACGTACCTGGTTCGTATTGAAGGCACGACATTAACCTTGAATTAAATTGCTCAGACCAGACTCGATGATTATAAGAGGTCCGGTGTGATAGAGGAAACACGGTATCTTGATTTGCTGTTTATGACCAGCAATGAGCTAGCTATAACTGCTCCTAGCTATTGGCAACGTCGAAAGTTTTCTCCCGTTTCCTATAGAAAATTGCATGCACCAATAGGGGTGCACTCTCCAATTTTCAAACCAAAGGTGAATCTCCGAACCCATAAGCCACAAACTTAAAGGTAGCAAGAATTCAACAGTCATTGTCATCGGATAAGTTTTCGAGGTCTAGGGACAATTTCTCTCCCCTATTCTCTGTCATTAGGCTGTCAATCAGCTTAACAAGATCAATGACCATTTCTCTTTTCTTCCCAAGATCTGCTTCAGCGTTGTTGAATAAGACGTAACGATTTTGACAATCCTGCAATAACATTCGCATTGGACCGCTGGCCGACTCTATATGCTGACTAAATGTTAGCGATTTTCCATCCAGCTCCATCTGACGGTGAAATGAGTCTCCGCGAGTAAAGACACAGATGACGTGCTTTCTCAGGATGTCCTGATCTGCCTGACGGAGAGACTCCACTGCAGAGATCTCTTCCTTGCTCAGACGCTCGGTGGCGGACAGAATCAGCAGAACCACATGAACGCCGTGAGGGAACCATATTCCAGATTGACGAAGCATGACCATCAGATCCTGGGCCAGAGCCTGATCAACCGCGCCATCAAGATCCATCACATTAAGCTTCCGTCCCCCCACTGATTCGCTGATCTTCAGATTCTGAAAGAGTATTGTAGCTGTTGTTATTTGGCTCGAAAACTTTTTTTCTCCAAAAATTGTGTTTCCCGTTGTGCTGGCACCACGATTCGTCTTGCCCATCAGAATTATGTCCAAGGGTTCCCCGTCGGGTAGGTCTGCCACGGGTGTAACGCTCTCCTAAAACAACAACATTAAGGTTAGTCATATCGCTCTGTGAGCTGGAATTTCAGTTACATTATGACGTATCAACTTTAAATGTTTTGGTTCTCACAGGCCAAGGATCATAATCGGGAGGAATCTTGACTTGAAACCAGCGGATTTGACATAAGCACAAAACTCTACAGAGTGGTCATTTCGCTGCAATGACACCCATGACCTTTTTAAGGAGGAATATGTTTCATCAATAACAAAAATGTTTATATGTCACAAATCTAACAGAAATATCATTCGAAAGACCCTATGTCTACATAATATTCTGTGGATAAATCTACACGCCTATTCGACTGATTGGATATCAACTGCATCATAATAAGAACCATTGTTCGACCTTTTCTGTATCTAATTCACAATTATCTTTTATCAGCATTTTTTTCTGACACATCTGTCTTGAAGGCAATTCTTCTTACCTTGGGTGACTTCAATTTAGATATAAACTTTGAGACTTCCTTTCTGAAACCACCCACTTTCTTCTCGGAGTCGTATTCTTTGAAGGCCTTCTCAATTGGTTCAGACTGTCTCCTCTTCTTCTTTGTCAGGTCCAGCTCTGCTACTACCTTCAGGTAGACCCGTAGCACTTCCACGAGACGCTGTTCAATGGCACTAGCCTCTTCCTCTTGACTTTCTGTCAGTTCAACATCAACGTCTCCCAGAAATGAATCCAACATCGCCTTCGCCGCGAGGAGGTCATCAAAATTTGCCTCGAGTTGTTCCAGAAGAACCTCTAAGCCCTTGTCCTTCAACATGTCTGGGAGGTTGGATGAAAGGGTTTTCAAAGGTACAAGCTCACATCTGCATGGGCATCCTTTCCCATCATTTTGTTCCATTACTTCACGTTTGAAATCATCCAGCACTTGAAGCATCCCATCAACATCTCGTGGCATGTAGCTAGTCGGTGTTGTAGAAAAGTAGTCTATGTTGATCTCGGAGCTGCTGCTTAAATCGTTTTCCAGTTGCTTGAACTTTGCTTTGGCCCCGGCATCGACCATGCCCTTGAATGATAGTTTCCCTTTCAAATCAGCATGGATATCGTTTAATTGTTTTTTGTTTGAATTCTTTATCCGTATTCGAACCAGCAATTCCCCTCCGTATGTGATGCTCCGGAAAAAATGGGTCCCTTTAAGTTTTCTCTTTATACCCGACTTCAACTTCGTTTCTTTCATGGTTTCTGTTCCCTGTAATAGAAATTCCTTTTTAATTAATTCCTTTTTTTGACGAATTACATATGTGACATATTTCGAACTTGTAAATCACTAGAAAGAGCGAGTGAGTTTGGTTTTACGCCTCTATTAGCAATGTTCCAGCAATATCACGTCGGGGGACACCAGAAATGGGCTTCACACATTGTACCCATGTCGGGAATAGAACCCGGGTCTTCGGCGTGACGAGCGAACGCTTTAACCACTAGGCTACCCGACCGCCCCGATGTCCGATGTGAAATGTGAAGGTTAGCCCAGAAATCCGTCCCTACAGAACTAAGTCGTAAAAACAAAACAGTAAATATGACTACCGCCCAGGATGAAGAAACTCAAAATATGTTCTTTATCACAGGATAAAGTACTGTCGGCGTCTTTGATCTTTCGCCCAAGCATCTTAAAACATACTACACAAGGTGGTTCCTAAAATAAAACTACATGAGAGATGTTTTCACACGAATTATACCTTTATACGAGCAATACCCCCATAACGTCCCGCAGTATTCAATTCTTATCACTCTTGTCATGCATTTATACGCGTCATACTCGTCATACTTTATGCGGGTCATTCCGTTATACGTCTGAAACCAGTGTACGAGTCACGCGAGGCATACTATCGTACTCTCATACGAGTCATACCATCGTACCGTCATACGAGTCATACCATCGTACCGTCATGCGACTCATACCATCGTACCGTCATGCGAGGCATACCATCGTACCGTCATACGAGTCATACCATCGAACTGTCATGCGAGGCATATCATCGTACTGTCATGCGACTCATACCATCGTACCGTTATGCGACTCATATCATCGTACCGTCATGCGACTCATACCATTGTACCGTCATACGACTCATACCATCGTACTGTCATGCGAGTCATACCATCGTACCGTCATGCGACTCATACCATCGTACCGTCCCGGAGTCAAACTGTCATGAGAGTCAATCGAGTCATGCTATCACGCGAGTCATACCATCGTACCGCCATGCGAGGCATACCATCGTACCGTCATACGAGGCATACCATCGTACCGCCATGCGACTCATACCATCGTACCGTCATGCGACTCATACCATCGTACCGTCATACGACTCATACCATTGTACCGTCATACGACTCATACCATCGTACTGTCATGCGAGTCATACCATCGTACCGTCATACGACTCATACCATCGTACCGCCATGCGACTCATACCATCGTACCGCCATACGACTCACACCATTGTACCGTCATGCGAGGCATACCATCGTACCGTCATACGACTCATACCATCGTACCGCCATACGACTCACACCATTGTACCGTCATGCGAGGCATACCATCGTACCGTCATACGACTCATACCATCTTACCATCATACGACTCATACCATCGTACCGTCATACGACTCATACCATTGTACCGTCATGCGACTCATACCATCGTACCGTCATGCGAGGCATACCATCGTACCGTCATACGACTCATACCATCGTACCGTCATGCGAGGCATACCATCGTACCGTCATACAACTCATACCATCGTACCGTCATGCGAGGCATACCATCTTACCGTCATACAACTCATACCATCGTACCGTCATACGAGGCATACCATCGTACCGTCATACAACTCATACCATCGTACCGTCATGCGAGGCATACCATCGTACCGTCATACAACTCATACCATCGTACCGTCATGCGAGGCATACCATCTTACCGTCATACAACTCATACCATCGTACCGTCATACGACTCATACCATCTTACCGTCATGCGACGTACCGTCATACGACTCATACCATCGTACCGACATACGACTCATACCATCGTACTGTCATGCGACTCATACCATCGTACCGTCATGCGAGGCATACCATCGTACTGTCATACAACTCATACCATCGTACCATCATGCGAGGCATACCATCGTACCGTCATACGACTCATACCATCGTACCGTCATGCGACTCATACCATCGTACCGTCATGCGAGACATACCATCGTACCGACATACGACTCATACCATCGTACTGTCATACGACTCATACCATTGTACCGTCATACGACTCATACCATCGTACTGTCATGCGAGTCATACCATCGTACCGTCATACGACTCATACCATCGTACCGTCATACGAGTCAAACTGTCGTGAGAGTCAATCGAGTCATGCTGTCACGCGAGTCATACGACCTTGCGAGTGATACGAATCTGACTCATACCGTGAAACCATCACACCATCATGGTAATACGGCCAGAGATTCATACCGTTTCAACGTTAGCCACAGCAATGATTTCCAGCGTGTTGTCATCAGTACGGCACTCCTTCAGATATGACCCTGTTCCCCCAACCATGACCAAGTTGGCCTTGACCTTCAGTGAGAGTTCCCCCGATACGTTAAGCATATCATGCACGTCTTGTGCTTTTTGGATTACAGAATAGTGTGCTATATTCCGGTGACGATCTATTTTTTCCACTTTGGACATCGATTCGTCTGTGAATAGGTCCAGGCCGGAACTGTAGGTCTTCAGGTCATATTCTCGGCCCAGGGTCATGCCTGGCTGGTATGGAACCGACTCCGTCTGCATGGTTCTGTAAAGAATGTCACACGTGAACACTGGAACTCTAACTGTATACGCACATGTATAAAACACAACAAAAATATTGGGAAATATACTGTGTGTAACCGAGATAAAGAATCCGTTAGCTTTCAAAAGACCCAATCAAATGCAAACGTACGAAAATGAAACCTAATTTCGTCGTTATATAGAAGTGGTAGTACCTATTGAGAGTGCATGTCTAGTGATTGTTAGTGGCAGCAATAATGAAGCGCTCGTAAAATGTCAAGTTCTATTTTTTTCTAGATTGTTTGTACTCATGGTCTGCGACAACACTGCGAATACATTGTACCTGAATTAGCTGCTTTTGTACGTCATCCCCGCGTGCTGGAGTTTCCTCCTGGGAGAAACTTACTGATTGGAGATGCTTCGAGGTGACAATTGAGTGAGTTTTGAGTGAGTTTGGTTTAACTAACGCCGCTTTGAACTGTATTTCATTTTTATCAAAGATTGACAGGTTGATGAAGGGGGAAAGCCCGAAGTGATGCTGGCCTTGCAAAACCATGCATCAGAACTATCAACTTGACTCAAAAACCTTAAAGACACGTCCATTCCTATTTTGCACCATCTTCCCGTGGCAAGGGAGATAACTGACTGTAAAAGTCCAGTTTTCGCTCTTGTCGAACTTGGCTGGAATTGCTGGGCTCGATCGTAGCGCCACCAGTGGCTATTACGAGTTATGTCCCTTCTAAGCCTCTTCTATGGACAAATAAATGCCATCTCTCGTTAAACAAAATGGCGGCACCCAGTCAAAGATCTGATCGATAATCAAGATCTTTATTGTGATAAAACGGGTCTTACGTCGCGAAGTGCATCAAATTACGTGAGCGCCTTGGTTAAAACATGAAAATTTTTGGAAAATATCTGTTGATAACGAGTTGGCGGTGCACATGCTTTGTAAATCCTGCAATCGATCGAAACCTGCACGACAGTTTACGAACCGGATTTCGATTTCGGTGCGCGATTTTGATTGGACTATGCATAGACTCGTTAGTCTAACCAAAATGTAACTCCATAATCCCAGCCAAGTTCGGCAAGGGTGGAAACTGGACTTTTAGAGTCAGTTAACTCCCTTGCCTCGGGAAGATGAAAAGAACCAGGTTCAAGTCTGTAAAGTGATTTCCCAACTTTGTACACCACTATCCCACTAACTTTATTCCTTGATCCATTAGGCTTTTGTTACATAACGTGGTGACTATAGGTATAGCTACATATCTATATTCATAGGTTCAGACCCGTGAAGATCCGGGGTAGAACAGGTCTTCAGCAACCCATGCTTGCTGTAAAAGGCGACTGTGCTTGTAGTAATAGGCGGCTAACGGGATCGGATGGTCAGGCTCGCTGACTTGGTTGATGCATGTCATCGATCTCAATTGCGTAGATTGGGGTTGAGTCGAATCAGGGATTCGAACCCACACTCTCAAAGAGAGGCACCTAATCGCCAACACACAAACACAGGGAGGCTTCCCGGGTGGGACTCAACCCCAAAAGGTACTAGAAGTCAAACTTTACTAAGAAAGTGGAAGTGGAAGCCTCGGTGGCTGAGTGGGTAAGATCGCAGACTTTGTGTGCTGGCGTATACATTGATGCATGTCACAGTTCTTTTAAATATTTATTATTACAATATCCGACCCGTGAAGATCCGGGGTATAATAGGTCTTCAGCAATCCATAATTGCCTTAAAAGGCGAGTATGCTTGTCGCGACTAACGGGATCGGGAGGTCAGGCTTGCTGACTTGTTTGATGCATGTCATCGATCCCAATTGCGTGGATCGATGCTCATGATATCAATCACTGGATTGTCTGTTCCGCCGTCATATAGCTGGAATAATGCTGTGCGGCGTCAAACAAACAAACAAACAAACAACATTACAATATCCACCTGTATATTTTTAGCTTCGCCTTTATGGGAGACTTTCGTCGTGAATTTCGTCATCAATACACGGGTCTTTCTTTACCCAAGCAGTGTTCGTGTATTTCGAGGTGAGGTGAGGTGAAATGGGGTTTAACGTCGCGTCCAAGATTATTGCACTTAAAAAGCGACGTGCATGTACGTGTGTGTGTGTGTGTGTGTGGCTGCTTGTACTAGTCCGGACTGATGCCGATTTATAGCTAGCTCACTGAGATGCCATGCCGCAGTTTAACATGAATACCCCACTCAGACACAGTATACTGACTCCGAGCCGACCAGTCCTTGTAAATTTAGCACCTTAATGCCGAGCGCCAGACGGGGTAACTCATGTATTTCGAAGGGCGTTCCTTCAGTTAGGGGGGTTGTTGGCATACAAGATAATGTCAGGGATATTCAGATATGACGAGCCATTTGAAGTGTAAGTGAAAGGACATGACGGTCAAATATAAAGTATTTAAACAATAAAGCGCTACCTTTTGAACGCAGAAGGTTTTCTTTTGTAGTTAATTCGTATACCGCGCCCAGCGATTTCACGAGCAATATTTGGGTTGACAAAAGAGGGTCTATTGAAGTTCTTGTTAATTTTCAAGCTTCGAAATGTAGCTGCATGTTTATGACTTTACACATGCTAATACCATTCAAATGATTCATAATAGCGGATAAAGGTGAAACTTTGACTATTTGATTTTAATCTGTTGATTATTGGTTTCAATACGCTCATTGGAGGCTGCTGTCGTGTGACTTTGTAATATACCAACACATAACATGTTACGTCATAAGTCCTGGGTCACACACGAATCGAGAGATCATTCAAATATAGAACAATTCAATCTACTATTGTGCGGTTTTGAAATGGGCTTCACATAGTGTACCCATGTCGGGAATCGAACCCGGGTCTTCAGCGTGACGAGCGAACGCTTTAACCACTAGGCTACCCGACTGATCCTATACATTCAAGAAGCAACATCGGTGTGCCCAGTCAGCACATCATGGTTGTGATGTTGGTGCCTAGGAGCACCTCGTAGGCTTAGGGTGGGACGTCACTTTGTCTCTGGACCAAGGTCAATAGCCAAGGTCACCTGATACAGATTGTCGTAAATATATTGACTGGAAAAAGTAACTATACTTCATGTAATGTTCAATAAACAGAATAATTCTGAAATAAAACAATGGATCTTTGAATGCATATTCATCCAGACATATCCTAGGCTTCAAGGTCGCGATTAACCAAGATGTACGTGCATGTTCATGCACGGCGCACAATTTGGGTGTTTGCGGGTTTGTTAGGAGCACGATACTCATACACGTGTTTTTGTAAAATGGTGACAGCACTCACCGATTGTTTAGCTATGAGGTGCTCATACTAACACGTTTATGGTGGTGGTGGTGAAGGAAAGCAATAGGGATTAGCAATTACGTGATTTTAGACATACCCATGGCAACATACGGCCTAGTCTTTGGAATTAAAAGTTCATTGAGTAAAAGGTTCTCCTGTATCGGCTGCTAAGACTTAAATGTCACAATGACTACTTCTGACTTCATGCGCGACTGGGGGCACGGGTGGCCCAGTCGTCTAAGGCGCCGCGATTCGCTGTGCAGAGTTGCGTCCCCAGGGCACTCCAGAAACCTATGATTGTGGGTTCGAATCCCGCTTCGCCCCGATTATGTTTCTAGGTTTGTCAGCACCATACCCGTGCTCGTGGGTTTCACCGAAGCGGTAAATGTCTAAGACCTGCGTCACCTCGGGCTTTCCTCCCACATTAAGCTGACACGCTGCGATATAACTGGAATACTGTTAAAAGCAGCGTTAAACCCAACTCACTCACTCACTCATGCGCGACTTTACATTGTTTTAGCAGGTTTCTCGAAGATTCAGTTTTGGATATAGGTAGGAACACTTACCGCCGATAGAAACTTGTCCAGTACTGTTCACAGCTTCTTGTTGTGCGTTGTCAGGAAATGACGCAACATAAACAGAAACTTAAAAAAAAAATTGTCGACAGTCATCTATATTTATATCAATAAACATTACAAAACGAGTCCCCCTGAAATATCTTTTAAATTGCGTGTATTTCAAAACGGTTAGAATGATTATTTACGGTGATTTTATATCGATGGTCCCTTATCTTTTTGTTTTAAAAAGCACTCCCATGAACATTATTTGGGATAAAACTGAGAATATATGTGTCTACATCAAGCTCCTCACAGCGATAGTCCGTTCGGGGAGCTCTCTATACTACCGAGAGTGTAACGAAGGTGTCACGCGCTGGGAAGGAGCTTGTGTCTACATGGTATAAGGGAGATAACTCTGCTTAGAATATCGCTCTGCTGGTGGCAGACCAGTTTCCTGTTTGTTCTTTCTTTGTTGTTTAACGCCGCACTCAGCAATATTCCAGCTGTATGATGGCAGTCTGTAAATAATCGAGTCTGGACCAGACAATCCAGTGATGGACATCATGAGCATCTATCAACGCAATTGGAATATGATGACATGCATCAACCAAGTCATTTACGATTATTTACAGACCGCCGTCAAAAAGCTGGAATGTTGCTGAATATTGCTTGAATTAAGCAACACGCACGAAGGGACGCATGCACGTGCGCACTAGTTAGCTTGTCGATACTGTTTTCTCCAGAAAACAAAATTCAAACTTCATTCACTAAATGTCCTCACAAAAACTGGGAAAAACAGCCATACGGCATGATAACATTAACTGTATAATTTGCGAGGCAAAGAAAGTATACACTTGAAAATTGGATGTGACCAAACAATTACAAACGTTATCAAAACGTTACTAGACTGAAAACAGTCGCCGAAACACTGCAGACGTGAGGTCTAAAACACAACAATGATACCCGTACTAAATACAACCGCCTCCGTGGTCTAGTGGTAGAGCGTCCGCCCGGAGAGCAGAAGGTCCGGGGTTCGATCCCCGGCCGCGTCATACCAAAAGACGTTAAAAGATGGTACTTGTTGTTACCCTGTCTGGCGCTGGCCATTAAGGGGCTAAAACAAGGACTGGTCGGCTCGGAGTCAGTATACTGTGTCTGAGTGGGGTATTCATGTTAAACTGCGGCATTGTATCTCAGTGAGCAAGCACTATAAATCAGCATCAGTCCGAACTAGTACAAGCAGCCACACAAACACGTGCACGTCGCTATATAACTGCAATAATCTTGGACGCGACGTTAAACCCAATTTCACCTCACCTCACCGTGTTACATACATCACCAACCATTTCTTGTTTGTTTCATGTCTTGTCTCCATCAAATAAGGATGTATACTTTCTTTTGCGCAGTTATTTACTTTGCAACAAAGCACCGGTGATTGTAGTTGCTATGGCAAACTCGGTTTATTGTCTATGTTTGCTTGTCATATCAATAAAAAAATTGAAAATATTATAACGAAAATAAGTTACGGACAAAACGGAAGGTCTTGTGTAAGATTATATTTTATTTCAAAATATCACAGTTTTTTATTCAAACACAAACATAAAGATGTAATGTCATGGTAAAAATTTCTAAATGATGGACGGAATAGATTCACAATGGAGATAATTTAACAAAACTCAGCCTGTAAGAGAACATTAAATGGCAGACACAGAGAAGAGGGAAAATGTACATTTGCCGGACATCACGTGATATTCGTGACAGTCCTTCACGCAAGACATATTTACAGATACAAGATACTTTCATTGATACTTGAAACAGTTATTTGTATCAAGAATGAGTCAAATACGTTCAAGAGTTGTATAGAAGTCTACTGAATAATAATTAGATTTCCCCACATGAGAATATCATAAATTGAAAATATACTGATTTTCTGTTTCATTCTACAACTCGGAGCTCTGGGACAGTAGCAGTGCCGTAGCCAGTCGGGGGGGGGGGGGGGGAAACAGTTGTCCCCCTAGACTTTTTATAGAACACAGTTTTATTTGAATCAAGTTGGGGACAAGTGATACTTGTACACATATTTGCCCCCCCCCCCCCCGGTAAGAAAAGGTTAACTACGGCCTTGAGTAGGGTGTATATAAATGCAACAATGTAGCGGGTAAGGTATTCGGCCACAAAGTCGTGTTGTCAAGAGCCACTCTGAGAGCAAACAGTTAAAAAACTCGAACGTCGTTAAAACTGTCATGTCCTCGTTGCGTGATAATCTCGTGCTTTATTACTGTCGACAAGTTGAGCTAAGTCTCGTTGAAATTCAGTCTTTTAATCCGAAACGATCTCTGTCTGCGTGATCCGAGGACACCTTAACAGTTAGTGCGTCGATCAGCTGTCTTTCTGATCAATCAATCAGCGTCCAGGCTTATAAATTCACCATTCAGACAAGCATATCTGATTTCTGTATCTCGAAAACGAATATAATCGGGGACTTCCGACATTCGTCACCAATCGCCACTTTCCGTAATCTGACATCGGCTTCTCCCGGAATTAAACGAGCTGGTTAAGAATGGGAAAAGAAAATCAGGCCGCACCCCATCGCCATGGCATCTCCACCCTAAAGCGAGCGCCATGGAACGAATATTTGTGTTCTGTGTGGGTTTTCATTTGTACAAATCGTAATTTCCGAGAGATAAAAATGAAGAAAGAAAGCTGACACCTGATTGGCCCAACAACCCACTCAACCTTCATTTAGATTGGTAATTAAAGTTTGACCAGGGTTCACCTGACGTGAGGGACGGGTTTATATTTTCAACAGAGGGATGTTGTATCGGAGTGAGCGATCTCGTTTTAATGAGATTGCGTTGAGTCATCATTTTGGAGATAAATATTTCGTTTTGTAAGAATTGCGCGATGTTATGCTGAATTGTTGTGTGGAAAGTTGATTTGAACAAGACGCCGTGAGACATATAAATGTCAGTGACTTCGTAATATCGATCACTGGGTCAGTGATATTAGGGACACATTATTATACCCCCGACCTAAAAGGGCGGATTATATAGTTATGCAAAATGAAGGCCGTCCGTCCTTCAGAGAACATTTTCTGTGCGACCTTTAAATTGAGAACTACTACATAGATTCATTTCAAAGTTGGTGAACGCTTTCTATACCAATAGGAGAGGTGTAGTGCGAGGTTTGATTTCAATATTTGGATTTTCTACAAAAATACAGCTATTTTTCATTTTCTTACGTCAACATTAGTGCGACCTTTAACTTGAAAACTACTTCATGGATTTTTGATTTGTGGATTTTCTGGGAATTCTTTTTTCATGTTTTGAACTTATTTAAATACCACCTACCTACGAAGATGCCCCAGTGCATCTTTGAATCATGCCATTACTATGTTATATGTTTCTGCTTTTTAAGAGAAACAGACTCAAACGTTGCTGTTGGGGTCGAGGTCGGGGGTGTTGATTATCTGTATTAATAAGGTTCCTATTCATGGCATGGCGGATTAATTATACTAATATGAAAAAAATCGGGTATTCTTTAACTTCTTTTGAGTAGTATATGTTGTTTCATAACATGGATCAGTCAAGTCATAGCAAGTGAAAACAGCTTTAGAATGCGTGTATCAGATTGGTTCACGAATGACGACGTTGTTACAGCTGTTTAATGAAGCATGTATTTAATGAAGAATCAGCTGTGGCAAAAGCTGTCACGTTCAGAGTGGTTGAGGATGGGTTTAAACCGCTTTTAGCAATATTCCAATATCATGGCGGGGGACACCAGGAATGGCAGGGTTAGAAATTGGTACTAGTCCTATAGTCCCTGACCAATAGTTTAGGTATCATAAGGACTAGTAGAAATTTGCCATTTTTGGGGTTTTGCTGTATGTTATCATTATAAGGACTAAAACTGTTAGTTTCTATCGCTGAATGGTCTTCACACATTGGTCATATGTGGGGAATCTAAGCCGGGTCTTCGGCGTGACGTGTGTGTGTGTGTGTGTGTGTGTGTGTGCGTGCGTGCGTGCGTGCGTGCGTGTGCGCGCGCATCGGGTGTTAAACAAGTTGGTTTCAGTAAATGTGCGCAGTTGACAGACAGCTGTCACTCGTGATCCCAGACAGTCATATTGAGGGTAGTTCATCAAATGCTCGTTGACGTCATTATCCCTTGTCATGTGACTACATCCGGGCGATCACAGAGAAAATGACAACGGTCGTCATCAAGGAGAGGGGGCTGGTTGGCGTTCCTGCGGCGTTCTGAAATGATATCACGACACACGTAAATAAATACAAATTATATTTTTTGGGCCATACTTCAGAATGGAAAGTAGTCATTTATTCATTTGTTAGGTGAAGACATTTCCCCGAACAAACAATAGGCTCTCGCTGGCGACCAATACTGCCAACAGAACCAGAATGGTTCTTACACCGTGAGAAGGGGCGAGTTTTAACGACTACAGTCTGTTTGAACGTATAACAGAGTATGGTCAGGGGCGAGTTTTAACGACTACGGTCAGGGTCGAAGTAAACGGAACACTTAAGCAACAATGGTCCATCCGCGAATCGGCGACAGGAAAATATGTCTTAATAATACCATGACGTCTTGGAGTATTTGGATCAAAATTGTATTCTACAATGAGTGGCTGATAAAATTAACTTACGTCAGGAGTGGTTGAATTTGTAGTCGGCCCGTCGTCTGTGATTGTCTTGGTACTCGCCGTGACGTCTGTGCTTGTCTTGGTACTCGCCGTGACGTCTGTGCTTGTCTTGGTACTCGCCGTGACGTCTGCGCTTGTCTTGGTACTCGTCGTGACGCCTTTGGTTGTCTTGGTACTCGTCGTCAGACCTGCGCTTAAGGTGGTTGTGGCTGATGTTGAACTCTTCGTTGTGACAGAACAAATAGTAAAAAACACAGCTGTGACGTCACTGTATTGTTTAAATGATTCTTTATTTTGAACAAATTTTCCCCGACTGTAAATCCTATACAGTGCACTTTGACCCACTTTACCCCGACCTGCCCCACCACGCCCGTTGTGTCACACGCAATGGCTAATAGGCTGATAACAAACAACGACCGATCTCAGGTAATACTCACGAGCGTACTGCTGATGCCGGCGGTGGAGGCTGGAATGAAAAGGAACACACTATCAAAGAGAAAGAAACGTTTAATCTTATTACTGTCCCTTGTGATTTGGGTGAAGGCAAAACATTCAGGACGGTTCGTCGAAAAAACTAAAAATGAATTAATTTCAATTTCAAATAAAACATTTGTTTCCTCTCACGATTCGTCATATTTCGTTGTGATTTGAAGTTTTTGAGATATATTTTCAACAGGTTTCAAATTCAAATTCGATTTAATATGTAGGTAACCTAGCTTTTCGTTGATAACTCATGTATGTCTACTTCCCAAAAGTTTAAAATCAATAGAATATAACTACCACTACTACTACTACCGCTACTACTACTACTACCCTACCACTACTGCTGCTGGTGCTGCTACTACTACTTCTGCTGCTACTGCCACTGCTGCTGCTACTACTACTACTACTTCTACTAACAATTTTACTACTGCTACTACTAGTACAACTACACCTACTACTGCTGCTCGTCACTATATGGCTGGGATACTGCCGATGTGACGTAAAACTTTAACTCACATACTACTGCTGCTTCTACAACTGGGGCGATGGGGGTAGCCTCGCGGTTAAAGCGTTCGCTAGTCACGCCGATGGAGCGGGTTCGATTCCACATGGGCACAATGTTTGAAGCCAATTTCTGGTGTCACCCGCCTTGATATTGCTGGAATAATTCTAAAAAAGGCCTACAAACATATTCACCAACTGCTGCTGCTGCTGATACAACTAGATCAGTGAAGGTCCGAATAGAGAATACCTCTTCAGTTATCCATACTTGCCGTAAGAGGCGACTAAAGGGATCGGGTGGTCAGGCTCGCTGACATGGGTGATGATTGTCATCGTATCCCAATTGGTAGATCGATTCTCATGATGTCAATCACCGGATTGTCTGATCCAGACATATATGGTAGCATTACAGACCGCCGTCATATAGCTGGAATATTGCTAAGTGCGGCGTTAAACAACAAACTACAACGACTTCTTCAGCTTCAACTACCTCTGTTGCCAAATCAGGAACTACCATCCTTTGTCCACTTACTTGATTTTGACGAACCCGCACGCACTGTGCACAGAGTCAATAGAAGAACACACAACGCCTTCATCCTGCAGTTGTACAGTTATCTGGGGAAATAAAACAAAGTTATAACATTGGTAGCTAATAAGCGTACACATTCACTGTACAAGACAAAGTGTAGTTAGTCTTCCTCGTCAAGTGCCAGATTCTTTTGTGCGAGGGTTATGAACAAACTAATATCGGATACTTTTAAGTACAGTCCGGGCGTTGTTAAATCTGAGTCGCCCCTGTATGGTATATAGATCACAAACCAAATTTTGTTTACAAAAGCAGAATAACCTTAATTGTTCTTTCCGCTGAATGTGTAAAGTATATTTTATTAAAATAGTTAATGTAAACCAATAGAAGAAAGAAACAAATATATGCATGCAGCTAAATTAAAATAATCGTAGATATGTTAATAAGTGGAAAAATCTTAAATTTTCAGGCATTATTAAAAGTATTTCCCAATAACACTCTTACCGTTTCAAGATGACATCGTCTACATGACTGCTTGTTATGTCAACCTCCAGATGAATATACAAAGTGTACTTCGTTTAAAACAATCAAACAAATTTTATTTGGGGAAAACAATGCAAATATGAAATCTTACCTGACAAAGGGGCAAAACACTCTGCAGCGAACTTGTTAGTGCCATGCGGTCCTCGCGGGCACGGATTTATACCCAACGAACCACGCCCCATTTTGGTCACGTGGTTGTTGCAATGCATGGGTATGTTTTGTCGGGATTATGCAATCCCACTTTTATCTTTACCACGTTTCACAACCCTGAGAAAAAAAAGATTGGCGCTAATCACGTCGGAAATGTGGAAGGTTCGAGGTCTATATTTTGCGACAACCAAGTGAGAGTGAGTGACTATGATTTTACGCCACTTTTAGCAATATTCCAGCAATACCAAGGCGGGGGACACCGGAAATTGCCTTCACACATTGTAACCATGTGGGGAATCGAACCCGGGTCTTTGGCGTGACGAGTGAACACTTTAACCACCAGGCTAGGCTACCCCACCGCCCCGAACCGAACTTTGAAGGAATTATGTAAACAATTGACATGCAAAAAAAACTAATTCATAGTGCCAGGAGTAATAAATTGACATAAATTGAAGACGCGGATAAGAGAAAAGCGTTGTAAAACAATATCAAGCTGAAGGTGTTATGGCTTAAGTTGGCTGGTTGGTTGGCTGGTTGGTTGGTTTGTTGTTTAACGCCGCACCTAGCAATAGTCCAGCTATATGACGGCGGTCTGTAAATAATCGAGTCTGGACCAGACAATCCAGTGATTGACATCATGAGCATCGATCCACGCAATTGGGATCGATGACATGCATCAACCAAGTCAGCGAGACTGACCACCCGATCCCGTTAGTCGCCTTTTACGACAAGCATAGTCACCTTTTACGGCAAGCATGGGTTGCTGAAGACCTATTCTAACCCGGAATCTTCACGGGTGTTTCCTTGAGATTCTAGAGGCAAGGAGAGGCGAGTCGCCTAAAGTGCCGCGATTTGCTGTGAAGAGTTGCCACAAATCAAACCAAGATCTATTATTAACGGGTTCGAATTCACTCCTATTATGAACCCTGGTTTGTCCTTACACTCAACTAGCAGGTCACTGATACTGTTCAGAGCGGCATTCTACCATGACCCTGAATAATGCTCAATTCTGATTGGTCAAAATCACATTAAAATTAAGAATCTAATTTCATTAATACCCCCAAATTAACAAGCTTTTTCACACAATAACTCGAAAACACGAGAATACATCGATCTAACGATCGAAATATTCCAGTCTGGGCAAGACAATCAAGTGATTGACATCACGAGCATCAATCAATCCATGCACTTGCATCAACCAAGTCAGCGAGCCTGACCACCCGATCCCGTTAGTCGCCTCTTACGACAAGCATGGGTTGCTGTAGACCTCTTCTAACCTGGATCTTCACGGGTGAGAAACACTTCACGGTGATTTCGTTGGCAGTGGTTGATGGTTGTCCCAGCAGGCTCATTTAAACCAGTAAATCATCAGGTTAACGTTGAACATAACAATGTCCTCTAGGTTCAGGCAAGTTGTAAATAGCTTTGTCGCCGTGAACAACAAGTTTGACAGCCAAGGTCAGTGATCAGTAACTGTATAACTGTTGAGGAGATACTTCAAACTAGCTTGTACATAAGTTCACCTTGAAAAAAACTAAAATAATTTTATTTCGTAAAGTTTAATGAGAAATTAATTCAGCATTTTTGTCACTATGTCTACAATCTGTCACCCTCAAAGAAACGACTTAATTGAGTCAAAGCAGTGCAATATATGCAAGAGGCCAGGTGATCACTTCTGCTTAAAACAAAAAGCTTTTTTTAACCATTATTTTGTAACAGTCAGTAATATAAGTAATAGAGTCAAAGCAGTGCAATATATGCAAGAGGCCAGGTGATCACTTCTGTTTAAAACTCAAAGCTTTTTGTAACCATTATTTTGTACCAGTCAATAATATAAGTAATTTATCTTCAAATTGAGGACAAACTGATCAGGTCAGGTGATCACTTCTGTTTAAAACAAAAAGCTTTTTGTAACCATTACTTTGTACCAGTCAATAATATAAGTAATTTATCTTCAAATTGAGGACCAACTGTTACGTTACTTTTCTCACGTATGACCCCTTTCCAGTATGTTCTACAATAGCTGACCTATTTGCCCATGTATAATTAAGCGTTCCAAAGAGTACCATTTTTTATAGCATTTTTGTCAACATGATAGAATTGGGTCCGCCATCTTGTTTTCCAAAAAGCGTTTTTAAAAAAAAAAAAATTTTTTTAAATGTAATGAAATAAAATATAATAAGTATTTCGATGTAAATGGAAAAGGAAGAGAATGGTGTATATATATACTTCTCAAAAGAAGTTAAAGAACATCCGATTTCTTCATTTTACTGTAGTTAATATGCAATGCGGCTACAGATTAATTATAGTAATATGAAAGAATGACAGGACAGGTTAATATAATAATAGTAATAGTGATATGTGAGAATCGGGTGTTCTTTTGAGTAGTATATGTTTTATTGACCTTGGTGTTGATGTACAAAACAATCTTAGCACTAAGACTGTGGTAAGTCTAAGTTAAGGTATGATAGTTACGATCAACGGGATCGGGTGGTCACGCTCGTTGACTTGGTTGATGCATGTCATCGTATCCCATTTGCGTGGATCGATGCTCCTGATATTAATCACTGGATTGTATGGTCCAGGCACGATTATTTACAGACCGCCGTCATATAGCTGGAATATTGCTGAGTGCGGCGTTAATCAACAAACCAAACCAAACCATTCTAACCTGATGTGCCGGTTGAATTAAGATCAACAATACGTTTTTCCTAACCAATATCGGCTGTAATATGTTATTGGTGATATGATGGACCAATTCCTCTGACACAGGCTGGATACGGGTGCCTTGGGTCCATGGTCAGTGACCGGGTGCAAGGGATGATTATATTGGGCTTCTCTATACATTGAAAATAAAATGTAAATAGTCTTCATTGAGTCAGTCTGCAGGGCTATATAATTGGCAATCTCATTAAAATCAGAACGCTTACTCCGATACGAAACCTTTCTGAGGGAAGATCTAAGGACACTCAAGCCCTGGAAATCAGAATGGAGCATCGGATAAACATCCAAAGAAGAAATCCCCAGTCTCTGAGACTCTGAAGTTAGCAGATCCAGGTGTGTGTGTGTGTGTGTGTGTGTGTGTGTGTGTGTGTGTGTGTGTGTGTGTGTGTGTGTCTGTGTGTGTGTGTGTGTGTGTGTTATTCCGGGCAAATGCGCTAGCCCACTCAGATAGCCGCAGTTTAACATGAATATCCCACTCAGACACAGTATACTGACTCTGACCCGAATAATCCTTGTTTAAGTCCCTTAATGCCCAGCGCCAGGCAGGGTAACAGCATTTTAACGTCTTTTTTGTATGACGCGGCCGGGGATCGAACCCGGCCCTTCAACTCTCCGAGCGGACGCTCTACCACTAGACCACGGAGGAGGTCTTAGAAGATCCAGACATTACCCAAACATGAGAAATTTGCTTGTTATTACATGAACGCTGCAAGTGAGCAGTGCTGAGGCCGAGAGATCATTCTCTGCATTGAGACGGCGCAACGCCTATCCAAGACACAAAATGGGCGATGAGCGGTCAGTTGGGCTTGTCCTGATGAACTAGACCTAGATGTGAACATTCCCAGCATTTGTAAACTATCCGCAGAGAAAAAATACTGAGAGTGTTTCAAACCTATGTTTCTAAAAACGCTACCATATGTACATCTTTGTTTGTTAGTTGTTTAACGACGCACTCAGAAATATTCCACCTATATGACGGCGGTCTGTAAATAATCGTGTCTGGACCAGACAATCCAGTGATTGACATCATCAGCATCCATCCACGCAATTGGGATACGATGACATGCATCAACCAAGTCAGCAAGCCTGACCACCCGATCCCGTTAGTCGCCTTTTACGACAAGCATTGTCACCATTTACGGCCAAAATGGGTTGCTGAAGACCTATTCTACCCCGAATCTTCACGGGTCAGAATCATACAGAGAAGTATGTTTCCAATGTGTACCAATTAATGACAAAACTAATGAGTCACGTGTCACCACAGAGTGTCGTTATACTTATCACGATATGTTGCACCTTACACGCTGATCCTGCACAAGACAAACGATGCATCTCGAGACATGGATCTATGACGTCACATGAGATGCGTTCATGAGAGTCGGTTCACACAACATACCAGTATGTTCATTTGTGCATCAAACCGATCTAATATCTCTTGAATATGAGTTCGTTCTTCATATATTAACCAAAACATATGATATTCGCGTTTCTTTTGTCGTAAATATGTTCATTATATGTTCTTGAGGAAGCACAGAGGAACACGGACAAGACAACGCAACTTGTCATGAAGGGTTGTGTCCCTTGACTTCCCGGATCGTTTGTTGATTCTCCTCGATTATGGACCCGTGAAGATCCGGGGTAAAAGGGGGTCAGCAACCCATGCTTGCCGTAAAAGGTGACTATGCTTGTCGTAAGAGGCGACTAACGGGATCGGGTGGTCAGGCTCGCTGACTTGGTTGATGCATGTCATCAATCCCAATTGCGTGGATCGATGCTCATGATATTAATCACTGGATTGTCTGGTCCAGACTCGATTATTTACAGACCGCCGTCATATAGCTGGACTATTGCTGAGTGCGGCGTTAAACAACAAACCAACCAAATCCTCGATTATGACCCTTCTCCAACACCACAGACGAGCTCGTCAGTTTCCAAAACGTTGTAAACGTCTGTGGCTTTTCGTCCCACATACAACAGACACGCTGTGGTATTACTGAAATGTTCAAAATATATTAACGGTTGACGGTTGACCTTGGAAAGGGTTTATGTTGAAACAACAACAGGAGGACGACCCGGACTAAGGATAATCTCCCACTGGAGGAAACCCTTTAATCGCCAAGCAACGTCTGTTTGAACATGCGCATGTCTACGTGCAAACCAATTTATTGTAACGGTTGTTCACTACGGGGAGGCCAAGTCAGACAGATTGTCACTCCAAAAAAATCTATTCATCCGCTTGTATTAATTTTTTTAGTCGTAAGATTTTGTTTTATATCAATTCATGAGTTTAGGAGACTAACAT